GACTTGAAACAGAGTTGTGCACGCCACTTGGTGGCACATTACCATTCCTTCATACAGCCATGGTTGCCAATGAGTCATAGGGCCGGCAGCTTTAAAGGCAATTTTGTCCTTTCCGATTTCACACTTATATTGATATTGTTTTATTTACCATTACAATTGGCACAGGTGCTTAAATTCTCGTTGAGCATGCTTTGAGATTGTCATTAAGTCTTAGTGAACGGTATGCCTTGAAAGTTACCATTCAAGATCTTCCGATGTCATAACTACACTCAAATTAGCCAACCTCACTAATTTATAGAGTCTAGCAGGAAACAAACGCCTCCACAGCAAATGTGAATCATGCTTGTCGAATTACCTAACACAAACAAGGGCTAGTAACTGTGGTAGTAACGCGTTTGCCTCACGGCCAGCCAATCCAGGCTCCACGGGGAGAGGACAAAAGTGCCGTCTAGACGCGAATTCCCATCCATCATCAAGTCATCTATTCCAGTCATCGTGACCTAAGTCGCTATTCGTTCCTTTCGCGCCAGTTTGGCAACAATTTATGCTCCATCAGTCACATATTCGTTACTTTTTACTTGTTTCGGTACTGAAATTTTGTTGAGCCGAGGTGTCCATAAGAGACAATTATGCTAATTACTCATATTTCAGCTACCAGTCCCTCATCACATTTAACGAAATAGGGTGAACACACCTCATATACTTATTTATAGTTGCAATTTCTAAGTGAAACAACATATAAGGGCTTATACATAGAATCCGCCCAAGCGTACCATACTAGTTACCCCAACCGGGGTAGAAACAAAGCTAGACGCATCTCATGCTCAACTGGACCCTGCTTCTCTAAATTCATAGACACAGTGTGTATGTTGAAACTATCGGTAGACATTTTGATTTCACCATAAATAGGGCATCCGTAGACGGTTTTCGTGTCTTTTCTGTGTGCCGGTCCATATGAGTCATCTGAATTTCGAAAGTTTTCGTGACCAGCTGAGGTGGTTCAGTGCCCTCATGACCTATTCTCGCGCATTCCCCTCCGCCCCACACATATATATACACACATACACATACACACACACACACACACCAACAATCATAGACACATACAAACGAGGACACCTACATTTTTTACGCGCATGCATTGTCACTAGACCAGCGCACCCACATTCTCTTTTGCACCTCAACAAATATAACCATTCACCTGTTGACACACAGAGACGTTCACATACTACAGGCATAGAGACTCACGCACATTCTCAAAAAAGTTAATTGCATGCACATTGTACATGCATACATTTGTACACTCATCTCAACCAGGTGCACATGCATCATCCGCCTTCCATCTGAAGGTTATCCTCCCACTTCCTGCGTCTCCGGCCTACAGGCCGAGACTTGTATCTGATGCCGACGAGACGATGGACAGCACCATATTTTGACGCCCTCACCCTCATTATGTAATCGCTTAGTGCCCACACTACCGTTCGTAGCTATTCGCGCCTTCTTATTCTCCGAGTGACCTCCGGTACGGACGCCATTAAAGAAAATGTCCATGATTCCAATGTGAGAACTACCCTCCTGACACGGACCTCCAGTTAGCAACACTTCAGCTTCACTCTCTCCTTCCGTCCACCCCCTTTATGTGCGTATCGTCAACTATGAGTATGTATTTGTGTGTGTATGCGTCTCGTTGCTGGGCCAAAAGTAAGTAGTCTTCATGCCTGGAAACTTTCTACCCATCGCTTCTTGCGCAGTCCTGCTCGCGACGATATCAATTATCCTCTTCTTAAGAACTTTAATTCTCCTAGGTATGAAGACCAAGATAGTGTGGCCTTTTGTGTGGTCGCAGTCTCCTTTCGTTGTATAGGGGTTGTTTGACCTTGTTTTCGCAACAT